ATAATAGATTAAATACAAATATTCATATTCCTAGTTATACTTAAAAATTACGGATGACCCTAATTCTGCTGGCATTGTCTAAAAAAAAATAAGTTAATATTTGGTAAGTTTATAAATTGACTAACAAAAATCAAAAATTCCTTTATGCTTAAATTAAATGGGGCTCACTTAAAAATACTCAAAAAATAAAAATTGCGTACTATATTTAAGCATAGTCAATATTTTGAAAATGACAAACGTCCAGATCTCGAAGAAGTTAGTCGTTATTTAAACTTTTATGGATAGTTAAAAACGGCTGAACGTAGAAATTATCAATTTATGTTTACATAGTTATTTTATACATATTCCGTACTCATATGCCTACTTACTATAACTATTGAGAAAACTATTATGTTTAGCATTTTGAATTTGGGTGGCTTCGGGGAGCTAATTACTTATTGTTGAATTCAAATTTAACACATCCATTAGCCATCTGTTGAGGGGCTTCCCTGGTTATTTCAAACAAAACAGTGCATACAATACTTTATGTGGGTGTTTTTTTGTATTGGAAATTCATCAAAAATGAGATTCCAATATTTAATAGAAATGGGTCACTGAATTCTCTAGACTCTAGTAGTCTAATAGTTATAATAGTTTATTGCGAAAAAATACGAAATAAAGGAACAATTACGAAACTCCGTTTTTAACAAATTCGATTCTTATTATTTTATTGCAATTTGGGAAGTAATTATCCTAAAAACTTCTAGGTACTTATATCAGTTTTGCCTACAACTACTCAGAGGCGTGCTCAGGAAATTGGGGGGGATGTAAATTTTTTACCCTCCGAGGGTACGGGGTATGTATATTTAATATAAAAAATACCATCAATTTCAATTAGCTATAACTTTAAAATAAGTGTGACCTTTAAATTCAGACTTTTCCGTCGTTTTCAGCATGCTTATATAACTACATAGGTACGTCATAAGTTAACACATATAATTTATATTATTTACGCCACTGCAATAAAAAATATAGAATATCTATAAAAATTAATCGATATATTCTTAAATAGGTATTCTTTATTGTACAAAATGTTCTCAAATATGCTAAAAAAACTTTTGCCATTAATTAATCGGTTTCATGATTTGTAAAGATTTCAAGTCCCCGTCTGACTGCATAGCCTCAAAAAAAATATGCAAAAGAATATAATTCCGGCCACTACTCACAACAAAAAAAATTGAAAAGATAGGTTATCTGGTAAAACAGAAGAGTTCCAAATGTGCTGTACAATATTGCGTTGTACCTATATATATGTAACACACCAAAAGTCGTGAACTTTGTAAGGCTATAATTCAAAAACTACTCATTTCCGGCAATTAATTTTTGCAACATCGTTCTTAACTCTGTGTAATACATAGGTTTCCAAAAAAAAGTTTAAAAATTCGAGTGGGCACTAAGCTAGATTTGTCCCCCACTAAACACTCCCCCCCTTGAGCACGCCCATGCAACAACTATTTTACAACTCTACTAGTCTTCTTAATGTTTTTTAAATTTATTAGATTTTTTTTTACAGAAGTATAAAACCAGCTAATAATAAAATATAGGTATATTATATTATATGTATATAGGAACTATTGGATTAGATATACCTATTCAGATCTATTAGGTATGTATAAAGTTCAACTGTTATCTAATGTGTTAACGTATTGAAATTAAACTATATAATATATTCGTATACACGTACATATTACATGAACATTAAGTTTTCTTTTTTTTTTATCATATTCTGTAAGAAAAAAATATAATTATTGTATAAATAGTTTAATTTATATTTTAATAGCACTAAGGCGTATGCTTTGGCCTAACACAGTAACACCGGTCCTGAATAAATGTATTATAATATATTTTAGTAGGTATTTTGTCATTTAGTAGTTAAGAAGGTTAAATAGATAATAAATACAAACTATTTAAAATGTAAATTATGATAAATTAATATAATATTCCAACATATTTTTAAATTTGATCTGCAGCATAACTGGTATAAAATATGTATAATACACCAACAACATTCATTTGAGATATCAAAATGTATGGGCTATTATACTCATATACTCTAAAACCACTTTTGACACCGTTTTATTTGATTTCCTTGAACGTGTTTTTACTGCTGAAAATTATCAGTATAACACAAGCTATAATCTCTTAAATATCTTATAACCTCTTAATACAAGCTATTTAATAGTTATATTTTTTCGTGCAACATATAGTAGGTAGTTGGTTTGATGGTGAGCAGTGACGTACGCGGGGGGGGGGGGTTAACGGGCTAAAGCCCTCCCCATTTCCCGTACTATTATTACTTTCAAAAAATATATTTATCAAGTTTCAACTGTCAACTATAGTCAGATTCGATATATATCTACTATAGTACTACCAGAACAAATTCATTTTTGAAAAAACATTGTATTTGCATACCAATTTTCCTAAAATTATCTTTAATTTTTCGGTAAAAGTATGAACTACTTGTTTGAGAGACCTTGTATTAAATTGTCTAGTATTAGCTATACACATATAATATTTTATAAGTTTTGAACTACAAATTAACTGTGGTTTTGACAAAATTTGAACTTTAAATGCTTATAAAAAATAACCATGATGCCTATGTCAATATTTTAGGTATAATAAAAAAGTACGTATTACATTGTTAAGCTTTTTGACCAGATAAATAATTTTTTATTGGCATTTATAGACAAAAAATTTTTAATTAATCAAATGAAATCCAAGTGAGGACGGTATAACCAAGCTGGTTACCAAATAATTTTAACAAATTTTAATTTTTTTTCTCCAATTATTTTAAAAAGCACTGAGCATTTTAAATTTCGACCTCCTAGAAGTACCAACTAGATCCAATTTGCTTCCAAAAACATATACATCGGACATCGAAGTTTATGATCAGAGCATTTTCTACCAGAAAAGTTGAGAAGTTACAAACATTTTAAAATATCTCAAATAAACGTCTGAATTAATAGACTGCAGGACAAAAAAAAAATAAAATTGTAATTAATTTTCAAGCCCCTCCCCCATTGAAAAATCCTGCTTACACCACTGATGGTAAGTGTGAGTAGTAGTTGGAGTTATTACTGTGGATATAGAAAACATGACTTTATAGTTTATTTTATGTATAATATAATATTATAATCTTAAATAGGTAAATTAAATTCAAATTTATTTATTTTAAATAATATTGTTGTTTTTATAATACAATCAAACAATACAAATTGAAATGTTATTTTTCTGTTTGTGAATATTGTATTAGGTAGTATTGTATTTTTTGTATTAAATAGATATAAATATAAATAAGGGGCCGTTATAGTAAAAGTAAAACGTATAACGAACTATGAGTATTTTAAAATTGTAAATTGTTTATAGATCTTAAACTACACATAACTAGCTTAACAATTAAAATATTAAAAAAATCCCATGAGGTTGCCTAGACAATAATCTTACCTTTAGATTTTATAAGAGGTTAATTTACTCTATTTTCAAACTAACAGAGCTACACGTATTTTTCTGACCGTAAAATTTGCTATGTTATGCACTTGTAAGACGGAGACAACACATTCGGATAAGACGTCCTCTTAGGACCAAATAATCGCTAATTAGTTTTAATTACAGTTTCGGTACCCAGGATTTTTTTTTTAGGAGGGTGTTTATAATATTTAATTATAACATGAGGGGGGGACTTTACACACTCCATTGATCCAGTCATCAATCTTCATATTAATAATATTACAATGAAATAGAAACATATTCGGTAGAAATCTAAAATACGCCGATTATTACGGGTGTATCAACATCCAAAACACACACCTGGCTACGCCATTGTCGATACTCATCATACTGCAGACTTAACGTCTTAACATCTTAGCTATCGTTAAATAATATTGATTTGCGTATTTGTATCTTTTGCATTTTGAAATTGAATAGGTACCTATATATAAATTATGTTGTTTTTTTTAATAATTACAATACATACAAGTTTTTGTATAATAGTAATTTTGGGTGACAAGGAATTTACATTTGTAGAATGGCAGATGGGTAAGCACCCAATAGTTGAAAAGTGCACCCGACAGGTCAATCGACCAAAACGCAAGACTAGAGTAAGCCTCTAGGTCGCATAAATATATGTTTACGTAATTACGTGTATCATTTATATAGTTTTATCATTTAATATTTTTATCATATACAACAGGAAGTAATCGTGTTTTTCGGGTATTATTATATAAAACATGTTAAACTTTTTTTAATACCTACAAACAACAGAACTCAATGTATATAAATCTTATAATTCCATACTTCCAACACATATATGACTATATACTATAATATATGTTAAATATTAATATAATGCGTATAGAACAATACGAGTTTTAATAATGTTGTTTTCGACTTAATTTCCTGGAAATCCTATCTAGTGATGTTTGTTGGATTTGTTTAAAGACTAAAGTGACGTTATGCGTATAAGTAAATATTAAAATCAGAGCTACAAAGTTTAAACAATAATCGAAATTCGCAATAGGTATACATTTTTATGAAAAAAAAAAAACTATTATATTGTATTATAATAATATAATGTAGGTAAATACTATCGTTAAAATCATAACTGAAAACGATGCCCATATATTGTGATTCAGCGCAAGTATTATGGCAATGTTGGTTCACTGTTAGCGTAGAGGTGGCAGTGGCGGCATCGGCGGCGGGTGAAAATTGACATGTTTTCCGTACCGTGTACGCGCTGCAGCCTACAGTCAGTGCTCAGTGGCGTGGCGCCTGTCCACGGAGTAACGCCTTTTTTCCCTCGTCCTTCACGTAGTTCTAGTTTTCGTAATATATATCGATCGTTGTTGTGGTGTTTTTCCCCTATCGTCATCACCCGCAGTTCTAATAATTGCGATAATTGTGTTAATTAATTGTTCTTGTTTATTCTTCCAACCGAAACTAATTGTTTAGGTACACACGGCAAAATGTCGAAAAACGTATACCTCCCGTATAGGGCGACATCCGAGAAGGCTCACATCAAGTCTATGGAACATTACAGGGAAATGCACAATAAATCGTTGGAGTCGACTGAGCAATTTTGGTCAGAAATCGCGTCACAATTTCACTGGGAAACGCCGTACGACATCAACAACTTTTACTCGTACAACTTCGACGTGACCAAGGGGCCCGTGCAAGTCAAATGGATGGAAGGCGCCACTACAAACGTGTGCTACAACCTACTGGACACGAACGTGCGCAACGGGATGGGTGGCAAAGTAGCTTTTTACTGGTAAGCCCGTAAGCACCTACCAATAAATAATATATTTTTTTTAAATTAAATTAATTAATGGTTTCAAAAAAAAAATGTTTTTACACCGTCATAAATTTACAAATTTACAATAAATACAAATAAACATAAACAAACACTTTCTTTACTACCTAGTTGGTCTGGTCGGTCTTATAGGAAAATGTCTTGTGAATTGTGGTAGGCGTGGTTTTGGCATAGGTTTAAATGTTTTGTAATAGAGTGCTCCTTCGGTTTTATTTAGGTTATTGTCGAGGTTATTGTGCAGGACATTTTTGTTTCGGTTAATAATCCATGTTGATAAACAGGAAATTCCGTATCATTGTGCTGTTGTGTAATCCGTATAAACTTTAAGCGCTATCCTCAGGATTTGTTTTGGAAAATTTTCAATTTTTTAATTTTCGTTTGAGAAGCGGCAGCCCATATACTGGGCATGCGTCATTTAGTACCTGTCTAACTGTCTTATCAGTTATCATTACCGTATACCAACTAAAATATAGCTGTTTAGAACATATAATCTGCAGGTGAGTTTACTGTGACTTAATAGGGGTACTTATTTCATTATTGTGTATCCTGAGATTAGTTTTTTGTTGATGCGAGTTTTAGATGACTAAATATTTCACGAGTCATCGGTGCTTTTCCGCTGGATTTCTTGGTTTTTAATTTGTATACTAAGGTTAAATTTGTGTATTATTTTAATCTTGGATTCACTTTTGATGGGTATTAGGGTTTGGTTCCAGCTTGAGAACCACAGGGATAATAATTCGTCAAGGGAGTTTTGTAGATATTTTCCAATTTACAACAAGAGTTGTTAGATTAGTGTTATATTACTTTACGCTTAATATTTTCAGATCTGATCTGTGAAAATCATCATAAACAAAATAGGCATATAATTGCAAATATTAACCCATTGATATTATATTGTTATTATATTATATACAATACCTATACTTGACAGTTGATATTATACGTAGTAAACGAATAACGAATGTCCCGATATTGGACAAGTGGACAACAATATGTCCTATATAAATATTTTCAATTTTATCGACGTTCAATGTTCATAAATATTAATGAGCGAATGAATAGACTAGGTACTCGCATGATTACTAGGTAGATGAATATTTGAATAATGTTCTTTACTTTTCTTGGCTGATACCTACATGTGTCAGTAATAAAACAAACCTAAACTATTGTAATATATAGGTACACAGAGTTATAACTCCCTGTTATAGGTCAATTGTGAGGTCTTATATTTGATTTGGATATTAAGTTTGGCACCAATTTATAAATAGTCAATACACATTTTTTACAATTGTACATTTATTATGGAATAGTTTCTTAAAAAAATTATTTTGACTAAACAGTATAAAATTTTATCATTATACACATTGTGCTATAAATTAATATTATTATTTTTAGTTAAATGCTTTAATATTTAATTAAAAATGTAATAAATAAAAATACGATATTTTTATTTTTATTACATAGAGGTAGGTACATATTATACATTCCAAATATAATATTATTTATAAGGCCATTATATAAGCTCACGGTTAGTTAAATGTTATAATAATTTTAATGCAATTCTTCGTACAAATGTGAAAAGTATATTGTATAGGTACTTATTTAAAATTTACTTTTTATCTAATTTCAACAGATATTATATCGGTATTTGTTATACTTCACAATGATAAAATATTTGATAATAAATTATAAAGTAAATATAAATATTTATGTAGCCATACAGTATACCTAGGTACTTAAAAATCGATAAATTAATTAAACACCTACCTAGCTATATTAAATTAGTTTTTAATTATAATTGTTTTTGTTGCCAATATAAAATCGAAAGTATGGCAAATACCACACCTTAATCATATTATATATATTAGTATATAACTATGTATTTTACAATTTAAAATTTTAAAATAACATCGAAACACATAATTATACATTTACATTTTACAGTGGAATGAAAATTATCTTTGAATTCTTTAAAATCTTTGAATTTATTGCCTACCTACTTTTTTTTTATAAACTTCATTTCAGCTATTTTATAAACTTTGTTTTAAATCATTAGTAATTGAAATACTATATAGGTACTTAAGTTTAACATCAATTGAAATTTATAATTTATGCTTAAAATGATAACATAATTTACCTACTCATAGATTTAGAAATTGAAGGTTAACGAGTTAATCGTATTACAGTTTCGTGTTATTGTATTTTTTTTTTAGAATAAATTATTATTTACCTATTTCTTACTTATAGTTAATCTTTATGGTCATTTTGTACTCATAAGTAAACAAGTAGTACAAAATATATTGCTTGGAGTTGAAAAGAAAATAACATAGGTATTAATGTATATATATACGGCTATACTTAAATTTACGCTTATAATATTTACGATTTAACTTAACTATAATTGTTAAACTATAACTATATAGTACTTTTTTATTATCGCCCAGCCACTGAACCCCCACCAACCCCAAAGCTGAGTCTTGAATCTGAAAATTCGGCACTTCTGTATTCATATTGATTATTATTTCACTGTATTTCGATATCTTACGTGTAATAGGTCTAGTACAAATGTGATCTATTTATGGATTTAATATTTGAAATTATGTTTTACTATAGTATATTATCATCACTTTAGTATGTTGTCGATGTGTCGCTAAATTGTATCTATGTATAATGTATAATTGTAAGTGCTTACCTACCTTATGAAAGTTATTAACTTATTTTAAAACAATGTTAAAAGATAATTGTAAATTGTTTAAGATTTATTCCCCGAGATGTTTAATATTGGTATTAAATGTTTATTGTTTACAACAAAAGTATAGGTACCTACCATTAAAAAACAAATAAAAACTATAGGTAATGACATTTAGGGATTTTAAGATTAGGAACTTGACTTTTTTTATTATTATCTATATAATATACGCCTCAACTACTAAGGTTATTGACGTTTCTGAAATACATTAGGAACTTGTCTTGTTTTGTTGTGTTTAGTACTTTATTTATACTCGTGTAATTAATAATTATGAAATATTAATTTATCAAATTTAATAAATGTTTCTATTATTATTTACTTTTATTTGAAAGTTTTGCAATGGTATAATATATTTAAAAAAATATCTGAGTATACAATGGATGGTCGCTGGGTGGCGATAAAAACAACTAGGTACCGTTAAATTATAATAACTACCCAAAAGAGGGTTTATTTTGTCTTTATTAATAATATTTAAAAAGTCGTCAAGTAGGTAACCGCTATGTTGTACAGTAGGTGTCAAATGTACTTTGTCATTGAGTAAGTCATTGTCATGGATGTGTTAAATTTTAATTCAATAAGAAATCTTTATAAACGAAGAAAAACCATTCTGAGCGAAGACGGTCTAACTTAGGTTTGGTACCAAACAATTATTTTAATAATATTACAATTTTAACAATCTTATTTTTTTATTTGTGATTCATAATTATATTTTGGAAAATACTGAGACTCTTTAGTTTTTACTTCCCACCTCTCCAAGTACAAGATACAACCATTTTTCTGCCAGAAAAAACCCATAAAGTTGAAAATGGAAGCATTTTTTCTGTTATAAAATTGACAAGTATAATCAATCATATTTTTACAAGTGTGCCTATAGGGCCTATAGTATAGGCTATAACTATTAACTCATTGCAGGTCTGACTCAACTGCAGAGTACCAGAGAACCTACTGTAACTTACGTACCTATAACATAGTATAGGCACACAGCTTATTCGCATTCATCAGAGTCTATTTTGTCAGTTATAATATTAAAGTAAATTGACCCATTATCAAATTTAAAGTTAAAAATATTGCCCGTGTTCTTTCGTCCGGTATTTTGATAATTTAATTTTAAATCGTGTTTTAGTTAGGTTCATAAAATATTAAAATTTAAAATTAAGTACTCGTCACTCTCTTTATTATTTATAATTCAAATTAAAAAAAAAAAACAACGAGAAAACACAGATAATAATTTCCACGTTACATTTTTATGGTGACCAATAAGACAATAGTTAATTTATTGTTATTCATTTTTATATTACTTATTTAAAAATGGATTCTGCTGAAAGAAAACTCGCGTGACAACATTCAACACTCAAGTACTCAACACATAATAAGCGGCCTTGGGCATCGCAACGATTCTTTAAAAACATTAAGTACCTATTCGGCTTTTCCATCATTTCCGATCATTAGGTTTTATTTTTACATACCTACCATTTATAATCCGTTATATGTTTGCACATATAATTCATATTTTGAATTTTTATATAATGTCAGTAGGTTATATTCTAAATTATTATTGAATCATTCTTAAGCGTTTGACTAAAACATTGACTTATCACTTATTTTTAGTATACTATTATAAAAGAAACTAGTACACGATATGGAAAAATACATTTTTAACTCTTAATAATCGAATTTATATTGTTTGGCAAAATATAATAACATAAATAATCAGACAAAACAAAATATTCACAAATCTTGGATAGTGTTATTTCAATGTATCTACACTATAATAATTATTATTATATAAAGATGAATTGTTTTAAAGTCTTATAAGTTATAAACCATGGAAATTCAATCGAAATTTGAAATAAGAATATTTTAAATAGAAGTACATGTTCTAATGATATTAGTATATCAATATATAGTAATTACTATTACTCTGTTCAAAACTTCAAAATGAGATAATGACTCGGCGGCGACCAGTTTTCGTTGGGCTTTTTTATTACGTTATACTTAATGCCATAATATCGATTAGAAATTATATAATCAACGATTTATTATATGCATGGTGATATATGACAAATGTGCAATAATGCAATATATTACAATTTAAAGTAGCTATTTCTGTATCTATATTTTATATTAAGATTTTGCCGAGTATAAAAAACTGAGAACTCGCTCTGCTATATTATAATAGGTAGGTGCCTATAATACATATTTAGATAAT